TCCTGGACTGGCCCCTAAATGTAGCAGTTCCTTCTATTGTAATGCTGCCTTCCCCCGTTAAAGAGAGTCTGGGAAACCTGACTCCCGTATATGCAGGAAAGGCTGAAATCAGCTCCTGTGCACCATCAACGTCTGGTGCGTACTCACCGGAGGTGAGTGCTATTAATCCTAACACCTTGTAAGGCCTGTCTGGCTTGTAACGATTATAGGCCAGCATGGGACAATGTTGACTAAAACTGAATTTGTTCCTTAATATCTAAGAGTTTCAGAGCATCATACACATTTCCGATGACTAATTAAAATGGATCTGTTAATCCTGTCTATAGTAATATAGACACAGTTTAAATTCATTTTTGCCACAACGAAAGGTGTTCAGCTTGATTGAGCAATGCCTCCATCCAGACAACTTTTATCATCATCATCATCTTCATCATCATCATCGTCATATCAGCGTGGCTGAGGTCTAGTCAGTGTTCATGGTGTGCTGGCACCATGACTGAAGCAGCATTTCATGCGTGTTCACACAAGCTGCACAACGGCTCACCAAGGAGGCCCCATTGTTACCCCCGTCATCCACCTGGGGAAGCAGAGTCATGTAGCTACCAAGTGTGTAGAGTGAGCATTTGAAGCTATCTTTGTCTTTAGATCTGATGCTTTTGAAACTATTCCACACTTTAAGTAAAAAATATTAAGTAAGTGAGGAAGAAAAAACATAAAACTATGAATGAGCTATACATAATGGAACTGCCATTCAGCTGACTAATTAAAATAAAGCTGTATGGTAGCTGGTCTCCAAAGATGGCCCCAAACGTTTCCACCTCTTCCTATATGTGCATATTGTTCTTTTCATGAGGAGGTGGTCCATATGTCTCCTCCTCTTGAGTCTGGCATATGTCAGATGGCCTTAGCAAATGTAATTGAGGGTAATTGACATCTGTGTCCTCTGAGCTTAGGCATTAAGAAGGGCCGGCATGGTTGACTGATTTTGGACAAGAGTGCCGAGATAATTTAATGAGGAATGAATGAATAGTCACTGCAACAAATGGTGCTGGGACAACTGGAGAGCAGCATGTAAAGGAATGAAGTTGGACTCTTATGTCTTGTAGGAAAATTAACTCAAAATGGATCATTGAACTAAATGCAAGAACTAAAACTATAAAACAATTAGATGAAAACCTAGGAGTAAATCTTCATGAGCTTGAGCTAAGGAATGGCTTCCAAAACGTGGCACCAAAAGCACACGTGACAAAAGAGAAATGGATACATTAGATTACATCAAAGTTGAACAACTTCTGGGTTATAAGCAGCACCACCAAGAAAGTGAAAAACAACCCACAGAATGGGAGAAAATATCTGCAAGTCATACGTCTGATAAAGGGCTTGCATCTAGAATATATGAAGAACACAACGTTCAGTAATAAAAGGACAAGTAAGCTGATTTAAAAATGGGTAAAGGATCTGATCAGACATTTCTCCAAAGAAGATATACAAATGGACAAAGAAGCACATGAAAACATGCTCAAAATCATTAAGTATGAAGGAAATGATCATCAAAACTACACTGAGATACCACTTCACACCTACTACAATGGCCTTCATAAAAAAATGATGACAAGATTGGTGAGGATGTAGAGAAGTTAGAACTAATATTTTACTGGTGGGAATGTAAAATGGTATAACCATTTGGAAAATAGTTTGGTCGTTTCTTCAAAGGCTAAACAGAGTTACCCCATGTCCCAGTGATTCTACTCCTATGTGTATATCCAAGAGTGATGAAAACATACGGCCTCACAAAAATCTGTCTATGAATGTTCAAAGCAGCATTTTCCACAATAACCAAGAATGGAAACCACCCAAACAGTCGTCAGCAGATGAATGGATAAACAGAATGTGGTGTACCCAACTCTGTTTGTATACCAGATGCCATTGAATTGTGCACATGAAATGAGTTAACTGCACGTAAGTAGATTGTATCTCAATAAAACCATAAAACTGTCCTGGCGGCATCTGCCTCCTCTCTCTTTCTCTCTGCACCTCAGTGTTCCACCGCCTCACTGGAAAGAGAGGCTCTGTCGATGTAGGAGCACCACGGGGCCAGACTCCCTGCCCTGGCCGCCATCTGCTCGCATCTGTGTGAGTGACCTCCAGCAGGAGTGACAGAGAAGCTGCCTAGTTCAGCCCCAGGCAACCCACAGAATCCTGTGATACATTCAAATGGTGCTGATTTAAAGCCACCAAGCTTGGGGGTAGCTTGTTATGTAGAAAAACGTAATTGGAACAAGTACTAAGTCAAATTCTTGCTTTGCCACTGGGCCTACATGTGAATCCTGAAATTATATCCCATGAAAGGCCTGGTCTTAAAGAGAGGAGCCGAATGAGGACATGACTTGATTCCAAAGGGAAACGAAATAAGGAAGAGCTAAAGGCGGTGGTACATGTTTTAAGTGGCCAGCCGAGCCGTTGCAGGCAGGCCGGCCAACTGACCTCTTTTTCTTGGCAGCAGCATCTGACCAGCCACTCGTCCAGAGGCCCCATCTGGTTAGCAGGAGCTCTAGAGGGCTGGCAGGTCATGTTTCTGATTACAAGAAGTAACACCAGTAAACTCCCATCCACCTGTCTCCCCCACACCCTGCAACAAAACCGCTGAGCTGGAAGGTGGTTAGAAACCCAGACAGGCCAGGGCGGGAGCTCTGGATTCACCTCCTCTCTGCGCGGGGTTGTCCCCAGCGGGGCACTCTGAGTATACTGTGGGACAGTGATACGTGGCACAGGAATGCATGGACGCGAGTTTCACTTCAGCAAATACTTTCTGAGGACCTACTGTGCTAGAAACAACTGTGAACCCTGTAGACAGGGACCTTTGTTTCAGAAAGTTTCCAGTGAAGCAAGTAGGCGATTCCTCCAGGGTCTGGGAAGGGACTTGGCGGGGGATGTGGAAGTGGCACGTGGTCCATATTTGTGGAATTGGACACAACTTCTTAGAGGAAATGATGTACAAAACTGGAAAACTTAGAAGGCTCATTTTACTCTATTTTCACTCCAAAATACCTTGAGGGTCAACGGAAGAGAAAAATGGTGGTATTCCTATTTGGGCATGCACATGGGCACGTGAGTTCCATCACCAGTGTAGGCTCCCGGGTCTAGTTCCTTGTGCCTTTATTCCATGCAGTTTATTTCCAGAATCTTCTAATATTGGTTCATTGTTCCTTCAGTACTTTCTGAGCTGGCTGATATGTCTCTTTTTGTGGGTTTTCACATCTTTTTGCCATTGCCCGTTGGTATGAGTGTTACCTCTTCCTGTGAAACAAATCACCCCCAAACTTGGTTGTCTGAGACAACAGTGATGTGTTATTTCTCTGGATTCTGGGGGTTGCGTGGCTTTTTCTTGGGCTTATTCACGTGCTTGTTGGAGGGTCAGCTGGCCTGGAAGGCCCAGGAGGCCTGGAAGGACAGCCTCCTTCACGTGTCCGGGAATTCGCACTGGCTGTTGTCTGGGTACCTCAGTTGTCTTTTTGTCCTCTTTACCTCCAGTAGGTGAGACTCGCTTCCATACAGGGTGGTCTCATCACAGCGTTGCTGGGGGTCCAGGTGGGAGTTGCAAGGTCCCTGAAAACTTCACTTTGGAAGTCTCACATGTCACTCCTGCTGCGTGTAGTTTGTCAGTGCAGTTCACAAACCCAGCCCAGGTTTAAGGAAAGGGGAAGTAGACTCAGTCTCTTAAGGGGAGAAGCACTGAAGTCACATTGGCAAGAGACATGAGAGAAGCTGGCGTGGCCATCTTTGCACATTGTCACCTGTAGAATGTCTTTGTAATTCTGTCACTTACATTGATGCATATGTAGCAATTGTCCTTTCCATCTTCTAGGAAGGGTCATTAGTATATTAAATATAAATACTCGGTATGAGAGCATATAGTTATATACTTAGGCCCCTTTTTCCCCAAAGATTTTTGATGATCACAGCAAGCCAGGGAAGGAAGTAGACTAGATCATATGCTTTATGTTTACTGTGAGTTTGGGGACACCGAGGCAGTGAGAAATGGTGTGATTAGTTTGGGGCAAAGCCGTCTGGGTGGAAAGCAGACCCGTGCAAGGATGGCCCTCTAGCTGAGGGGAGTGGTCAGTAGCACTTCACACTATTAATGTCGACCATACTGGGCACCTATAAAAGGCCCATTGTATATGGATGCAGGAGAGCATGTTTATGGCCCCAATGGGAGCTGGTTTTGGAGGCGTGGTGAGGACAGAAGCTGGAGAACTTGAAAAGTGCACGGGGAGGTAGGTGTGAGAAACGAGCTATGTCAGGGAGTGGGATCAGAAGGGAGTGATTTATAGAGTTGCTGTAGTCTGTTTTGGCTGCTTAGACTGATGGCTTGAACAATAAACACTTATGTTTCATAGTCTGGCGGTTGGGACATGCAGGATCAAGGGGCCGGCAGACCCAGTGTCTGGTGGAAGGTCTGTCCTGGATTTGTAGACAGTGGTCTCCAAGTGTCCTCACTGAGAGAGAAGACAGGTGCACGAAATAATCACCTCCCAAAGCCCATCTCCAAATACCATCACACTGAGCATTAGTGTTGCAGTACATGAATTCTGGGAAGTTATAAACTTTCAGTCTATAGGGGTAGTAGAACCAATTCTCAGTTGAACAACAAATTGGGAAATGGATTAATGACTTTGGGAAAAACTACTAGGCTTTTTTGAAAGAGTGGGGCTCGGTCAGTCTATTATAACTCCTTTTCAAGATGGCTAAAACGAACAGTCTGTTAATGCTACAGTTTTGGATTGCATTTTTTTTTTTAATTACCAGGAGAAAATGCATCTTGTTCACTTCTGAAGCACATCTTTCTGTTAAAAATTACATTTGTGGCAGCACGTGACAGCCACATCTCTCTGTCTGACAGCCGTGCTGTGATGACTCACAGAAGCCCATGACGTAGGATTTCAAATGAGCTCTTTTCCTTTGCGTAGTTTTATTTTCTGTTCCCTTCATCCTCACAGGCTGATGAGCCCTGAAAACACACTCCTGCAGCCTCGGGAAGAGGAAGGGGTCAAGTATGAGCGCACCTTCATGGCATCTGAATTCTTGGATTGGCTGGTTCAGGAAGGTGAGGCCACCACAAGGAAAGAGGCAGAGCAACTATGCCACCGGCTTATGGAGTATGGCATCATCCAGCATGGTGAGTGTACGGGTCAGCTTTTGCTGTGGTAACAAGCAAACCTAGAATCTTGTGGACTACCACCCAAAGCATTGACTTCTCACTCATAGGTCTCTCAGGCAATGGTGCCTCTGCTTGGGCTCAGCTTAGCTTGTCCCCAAGCTAGAGGTCAAGTTCAGGTACACATTCCATGCCTTCTCATTTTGGTCCCCAGGCTAAAGGAATTTTCACTCTCTGGGATATGTTGTTTTTACAAATGAGGGTGGAAGCTAAAGAGGGCAGGCAGAGTCTCATAGTATCTCCAAAAACATTACTACTCCCATATCCAACCTACTCAAGTCTGAAGGGGCGGTAATGCCTCTCACAAGGTTGGTTGCAAGGAGAGAATGAAAATTTGCTGAACTGGAGAGGAGGTTGGGGAACTAGGTGGAAACAGTGAAGGGATTAAGAAGTACAAACAGACAGTTGCAAAATGGTCATGGGATGTGAAGTGCAGCGTGGGGAGTGTGGCCCACGGTACTGTGATAGCTGTGCATGGTGCTGGCTGGGGACTGGAAATATCAGGGGAAACACTTTGTAAAGTACATGATTGTCTAACTGCTATGCTGTACACCTGCAACGAATATAAAGTAGTGTGAATGGAAACTTTAATAGAAAAATAGACTTTACTGTTGTAAAGAAAAAGAAATTTTAAATTAAAAAGAGAAAATTTGTAGAAACCTGCATAGTAGAAGCTGCCACAGTGAAGAAATAATCCAAATGGCCTTGATAAAATTTTTTTAAAGATCTTATTTATTTATTTTTAGAGAGAGGGAAAGGAGGAAGAATGAGCGGGAGAGAAACATAGGTGTGTGGGAAAAATACTGACCGGTCACTTTGGGCACGTGCCCTGACTTGGGCCTGCCCCGCAACCCTGGTATGTGCCCTGACCGGGAATCAAACTGGTGACCTTTAACCTTGCAGGAGGACACTCAAGCCTACTGAGCCATGCCCATCAGGGCCATAAGACTTTCACTTTTCTTTTTGGGAGCTCAATCAAAATGATGCAATATAACCCCTTGGTTAAGAACGACATTAGTTCTCTATTGTTGCATAAGGAATGACCCTAAAACTTAACGGTATAGAAGAATAGTAAATGTTTATTACTCACACAGCTTCTGTGGGTCAGGAATTTGGGCGAGGCATGGCTGGGTGGTCTGTCTTGCATCCTTCATGAGGTTGCAGTCAAGAAGTCAGTGGGTTCCAAGTCTTCTGATGAGCTGGAGGATTCGCTTCCACCATGGCTCACTCATCAGTCTAACAGGTTGGTGCTGCTTGTTGGCAGGAAGCTTCAATCTGTTGCTATACAGACTTCATTAGGCTGCTTGGGAATTCTTATGACATGGCAACTTGGCTTCTTCTAAAGGGAGTTGTCTAAGAGAGTGCAAGGCAGAAGCTACAATATCTTCTAACTGAGTGTTGGAAGTCACAGTCATATTCTCAGTACCCTGTTGGTTACCAGGTCAGCCCGATTCAGTGTGAACACTGGGAGGCAAGGATCACTGCAGCCATATTGGAGGCTGGCTGTCACAAGAATATCGTCTCTGGAATCACAGTCCACCAGTTATTAGCTACTTGCCTTCTTTGATCTGTGAAATGGGAATACCTGCATAGGGTCGTTGTAGGAATATATGGGGTTAGGTATAAAGTACTTGGTTCAGTACTCTGTTCTTAATAAGCTGCTCAACAATTTATTAATGTAGCTGTAAGGTGCAGGCTTAGAACGGTGAGAAAAGGGCTAGGAACCAGTTAGGCATTTCAGCCTAAGTCAAGATGAAAGATAATACTTGAATCATTCTTGCTGTGAACTCCCAACCCCCACTTCTGTGTAGGCCTAGGATTTCTATTCCCAAGGTTAAAACGATTACAATGGAATTGTAGAGACAGATGGAGGAAGTTTCTGAAATTATTTGGAGCTGTGTTTTATGTACAGCAGATAGCAACTCTTTCTGTAGAGGGGTATGAAGTACATTTAGAGAGCCGTTCTCAACCGTTCTCATTTTTTTTTAATGAAAAAAAATTTAAATAGACTAGACTAGACTCTTAACTACTCACAGTGCGGGCGTGGACCCAGAGTGTCACTGGGAGTGTGACAGAAATGCAGACTCTGACCCTCCCCAAGTCCCGCAGCATCTGATCTATATTTTAGCATGACCTCCAGGTGATTTGAGATGCCCCGCACTGGATTTTACTGGAATAGAAAATATCGGAGCACATTTTATGGAGGAAGGTTAAGTATTATTTTGCAAACCTGTATTTTGAGGGTAGATATTCACTGTATAAACGTGTGGACATGTTCTCACGTGTATTGATTTGCAACGTAAAAATGAGGTTGGGGTGAAGTGTTTCGTGAGCCACTGATCTAGAGGCATCGACTAGAAAGGCCCTCAAGGTGCCTTGTGTTCTCTGGGGCGTTTCCTATTCGACGTTGCTGCGGTCAGACTCACAACTGTTTACTAGTGGTCTCAAATGTCTGCTGTTGGGCTCAGTTCCCCAAGGTGGAAGGTGGCTAGAAAGGTGCAGTGCCAGTGTGGTCCATGGCCTTCAACAGCTTGCAGTCTTGCTGGGACAGTGAGATGGATACAGAAGCAATTAGAGAACAGTAGAAGATACATGGAGTGGCGGGGGACACCCCCAAAACTGGGATTTATCTATAAACAATTGTGTATTTATTCATATATGTTTAAACTTCAGTCGCCTTCAAAGTACTCTCCATTTGATGCAATATACCCATCAAGACATTTTTTTCACTGCTTAGAACAGTTTTTGAACTCGTTGATTTTGATGTCTTTTAGTGCTTGTGCTGTTTTGTTTGTTTGTTTCACCTCCTGCACACTGGTAAAATGCTTCCCTTTGAGGACTTTTTGCACCTGGGGAAACAAAAAATAAGTCACTTGGGGAGAGATCAGGTGAATAGGGAGGGTGGGGCATGAGGGTCAAGCCTTTTTTGGTCAAAAATTGCTTAACACTCAGCATGACATGGGTGGGTGCTGTAAATCACGATCATGAAAAGGGCAAATGTGTTGAAAGAGTCTTCAAAAAAATGTCATGAAGCCAAACGCAGCCTCTCACAATGACGCCAGCTGGTGCACTGATACAGATGGGCTCCTAGAGCATCCATCTAGTAGGGGAAAGCCTGTACTACAAGGGGCTCACCCTCCAGAATAATTCTAGTTTCTTTTGTGTCCCTGCTCGTATAGCCAGGGTTAAAAATTTGAATTTTGTTCCCAAGGCAACAGGAAGCCATTGAAGGGCTTTGAAACAGATCAATTAAGTGGCTTGGGAGTATGTTAAGCATACTTCTTATGGCCTTCAGACGTGAGCTATTCCATGTGATCTGATCAACTCCGAATAACAGTTAAAATTTATAGAGCTTTATATAGACCAGCTATGGTTCTAATCACTTACTCATTTACTCATTTATTCTACTCAATAACCACGAATTAGATATCATAATTATTCTCATCTTTTAGATGAGGTTAGGCACTTGCTGAAGACAAGAGTTGGTAAATGGTAGATTCAGGACTCAAATCAAGGCATTTTGGTTCTTAATCACTAAAGAGGATTGGATGCTAATTATAAGCTGTACTAACCAGGAAAAAAATTCTCAAGTTTTATTGCACCAGCTCACACAGTCTGGCAGATACTGCAACTCAAATTCGTTAGCCTGTAAAATACGCAGGATTCTTCCTGCAGCTCATCGTCACTAGGTACCTTGAGATTTTTGTGTTACTTTTGCAAATGTGATGAACACATTTCCGTGCTCGTATTAACTGTCTCCCTCAACTGCTTTAGCTTTCTTATCCTTAAATGGAGGGAGATAGAAACGAGATAATCACGTGTGTAAATTGCTCACAGCTGCAGCAGCTGACCCTGGATAATCAGGCGGCCGCTGCTGTGTCCAGGCATATAATTTCCCCTTTTTTTTTTTTTTTTTTTTTACATTTCACTATTTATTACGGTTAAAAATTCTTTTTTTTTTTTTTTTTTTTTTTTTTTTTTTTCACTTTCAAATATTTATTATTCAGCGTCATAGTGACTTAGCGCTAAGAAACAAGATGTCCGAATACATACTGGCTTAAAACAAAACTTTCTTTTTTTTTTTTTTTTTTTTTTTGTTTTTAATTGAAATGACATTCTTTATTTTTTTTTTTTTTTTTTTTGAGATTTTAAATTTATTTATTTTTTGAATTGATTATGCTGTTACAGTTGTTTTATTCCCCCCTCCATTCCCCTCCACCCTGCCCCCCCAACCCCACCATTACCCCCCTTTAGTTTATGTCCATGTGTCTCAAGTCCTTTAGGTTCTAAATTTCCCAAACTATTCTCGCCCCCCATCTATTTTCTATCTACTGTCTATGCTACCTGTTTTCTGTACCTTCTCCCCCCATCTCCTCCTCCCATTCCCCTGTTGCTAACCCTCCTTGAGATCTTCATTTCTATGTTTCCACTCCTGCTCTAGCTGTCCTTTGGTTTGCTTTCGTTTTAGGTGTGGTTGTTAATAACTGTGAGTTTGTTGTCCTTTCACTGTTCATGTTTCTTTATCTTCTTTTTCTTAGATAAGTCCCTTTAACATTTCATATAATAAGGGCTTGGTGATGATGAACTCCTTGAGTTTGGTCTTATCTGAGAAGCACCTTATCTGTCCTTCCATTCTAAATGAAAGTTTTGCTGGGTAAAGCAATCTTGGTTGTAGGTCCTTAGAATTCATGACTTGGAATATTTCTTTCCAGCCCCTTCTTGCCTGTAAGGTCTCTTTTGAGAAGTCTGCTGACAGCCTGATGGGGACTCCTTTGTAGGTGATTGTCCCCTTAGCTCTTGCTGCTTCCAGGATTCTCTCCTTCGTTTTAATTTTGGCTAATGTAATTATGATATGCCTTGGTGTGTTCCTTCTTGAGTCCAACTTTTTGGTACTCTCTGGGCTTCTTGGATTTCTTGGAAGTCTGTTTCCTTTGCCAGATTGGGGAAATTTTCTTTTATTA